TGGCCCAAAAGAAAGTCTTCACTACTGTGCGTGCATGCAGGGATGAACACAACAGCAAAATCGGGCGTCTTTGTTTCTCTCTTTGATATTTATAGTTCTCTTTGATATTACAGTAAACCTGGACTGATTATATTATTATAACTCTAGCTCCAAAACGGTATGTCTGTCGAGAAGCCCAACCTACTCCTCTGTCCCACCATCAATTGGTATTGTCTTTTATTCTGCTGCTCTTCTTTTTCTCCCTTGTTCATTTTGTCCGGGAAGAAGCAAAGTGGTGCTCACAACACATCCCATTACTTAACAATTACCCTTTCAGATGGAACTGGATGACTATTTATGGTCTTCCTCATTTATTTCAGCCAGGCAGCAAAATGCTGATCGCTTCTAAAATTTACATTTGGGGCTCCGCTGAAAGTGTATTTATTGTAAGTGTTGGACTGGAGTGTGACTCTGACTCTGTCCGTGCATGGATGTGGCAGATGCGTGTCTGTGTGTGTGTTTTCATACATCCATATAAAGAAAGTTAATGCTCCAAACATTTGCCTATAATTCCATAAATTAGTTACGTGCGCGCACACACACACACACACACACACACACTCTATTAGCAAGTAGTAACTATATTAAGCCTTAGTATATTTTGTGAATATAGCCCCTAAAGGCTAGCTGGGTGAACTAGTCTCTCTCTCCAAAAGAGACAGTCTAGCCTCACTGACGCCAAAACTAAAGATGCGTTCGAGTGGTCCGTGGCTACTAGCAAGTTTGATAATTATATCAATTATATTATATTCAATTATATCAATAATATGAAATTTCTCTTGCACTGATGAAATAAACACTTCTAAACAAAATCATTTCCTCCCTTCAGTGTAAATTGTAATTCAATCAGTGTGAACTGTTGTGCCACTGTCAGTGTAGACTGTATTTTTTTTCAGTGAAAGACAGATTCCAATAAAGTTCAAATCATCACAGGTTTAGTGATAAGTTCAAGCAATAATACAAATACACGTGTATCCGAGCTGGTCCCAGGAACAGACTCTCAAACTCTGTATTCCACCATCGCATTCACACATAATCAATATGAATGAAAACCAATAGTGTAATCTACCCCACACCAATTCTAAATAACAATGAAGCTTGAAATGAAACATTGATCAATAAACATCATTTTGGTGTGAAAAGTATTTAATATACATAAATCACAGAAGAGGCTTAACCACAATATAGGCACATCATGTTTGTGTGCCATTTTAAATGATGACCTTCACAACTGTTAGAGCTGCAGTCTACTTGCAACATTGTATTATCCCCAGCAAAGGCCCAGTGTGTTTATGTGTCTGGACTTTAGTTTAGTTAGGCCACAGTGCAGTTCACTTGCAACATAATAGTAACATCAGTAAGACCCCATTGTCCCTTGTTCGGTATATTAAATGAAATTATGGCCCTCGCCTTTGCCTCTGCTGCGGCCAGCTAGCAACACTGTTTGTTTGGCAGGGTGTGTGTGTTCCTTGCGAAATATGAAGGTTGAGACACAGATTGAGAGCACAAAGGCTGCACTCTGAAATTCTTTGTATCTGATAATGAATATTATATTCATTATACAATAATGAATATTTTATTATATTATTGTGTTGTCATGCACTTTAGGTAAGACTGTCTTACCTAAAGGCATGCACACAGTTGTTAGTGGAAGTACATATGTAAAATTCAAAGTTATACACGCACCATTCTTACATGCACCGTATGGGACTGCTGTGTCACATGATAATCAGCATGCATCTCTTATGTTCTTCAAAATAACCATATGTTTCCCTTGAGGAGCTGTAGATAAACGGCAACACATCAGAGGGTTCAAGGACATACTGGCTTATTAGGGAAATCCTACTGTTAAGATTTCTCTGTTGAGTAACGCTCTCTATTGCAATGTCCTCCATCTCTTGACGTAAGCAGCGATGGGAATCACATGACCTCACAAAGCAGCATTGTTATTTATTAAATTGTCTGGGTGAATACCAATTTGGTGAAGGGGATGGCAATTAGTTGTCTGACGGATAGGCATATATGCATTTTATCTTTAATAAATGCATGTTTATGAGATGAAAAATAAAATTCAAGGATCTGTGATCCTTGTAGGTCAAGACAAGTCTTTCGATAAAATGTTATTTTATATTTGGTTTTAGTGTTGTCTATTTTCTAGTGGACAAATTACATATGTCTAGGTGAGATTATCCAAGATTTTAAGTAAGTATACGACTGGAGCAGAGACGTTTGGTTTCACAGTAGGTTGACAGCAAGTAGTTTCATACAGGCACTGCTCCACTTGTAGAGTACAGTTACTGTTCTGATTCACTTATATCTAATCAATCTAAAATTCCTATTTAAAAGACAAGTATTTTGTGGGTTGTGTGATCATTTCAGCATCTGCTAAGCCTGTGCTGCTGTTTCAGTCTGAATGCTTGACAGCCCATTTATTTGGCCATTTTGTGACAAATTATGTAATTTTGGCCCTGAAGTTGCCTGAAAAAAAACAAAACAAAAAAAAAAAAAACATTGCAGTGCAAGAAATTATTGACCTTGGCACCATGCCTTGTTGATCAAAAGGCCAACAAGGTGAGGTGTTTCATTAAAAAAAAATATAATGTCCCGACTCCCCACTGCTTTTGTTCAACCAGACATCTCATCCTGGATTAGCCTAAATATCAAATTTCCTGACTCAGTTAGGCTTTCATTTTTACAGATAAGTAAGTTGTACTTCCTATGTCTTTCTGTCAGAGTATCTGCCAATTAAAACAAGCCAGGATAACTTTCTCAGTCACTTCATTTGTCTCCTGAAATCCATTCACCGTGCTTGTTGAGCAGGATATTAAGAATGAATGCAGACGACTATTGTGGATCGGAGATGCACAGCTTGATCAAGCCATTATCAGCAGAGGGGGTATGCAATTACTAACACATCAAACAAAAGTGAAGATAGTATGAAAATGTGAACTGAACAGCCCGTCCACAAAAACAGCTGAGTAGGTCGATTAGTAGCTTATGACCCATATTTACGTTTGTTAGGCTGCAACAGAATGATGGGAGCACAAGAGGTCAGGTGACGTACAAAAAGCAACATTCAAAGAAATGTGAAACTAAGTAAGCAAAAGGTTATTTAAAGTTGTAAGTTAAATAAAGTTACAAAGGTGACTAATGTCACGAGTTAAGTTACGTGACTTACATTCCGTGCATCATGCGATGTACAAACTACCTAACCAGACTCCAACCGTTTCACGTTAACCACATGTTTAGTGTCTGGTGATTTGCGTCACATTCTTCTGGTAGCCTGCCGCTAGACTAGTACTTTCCAACAGTCATGTGTCATTTTGGGGAACGGTCATGTTATTTTTGGGACAATTGAATATTGACCAGTTTGAGGTATGATGTGTTGGAAATGAATGCACAATCGGCATACATACCCAAGAAGCTGGGTATGTAGATTAAGCATTCTGTGTGATTATACTCAATTGTTTGCATTGGCAACATTTTACCTTGAGTATTTTGCATTATATCCTCACACAGAAAGAACAGTGTTTAAAATATTTCTTAAAAGTGCTGCTGTAATGAGACACTTCCCCAAATGTTATTTAATAATGTATTAAGTAAAAAAAAAAAATGTTTTGTTGGAATTTAACTTCAAGACCAAGACACCGAAGCAAGATTGCAACTTCAGCATGAAAGACTACAAAGTTATTCTCACTGCATCTCTCTAACCAGCCACTCTTTATGGGAAAGTAACTCAAGTCTTCATATTCAAGACACTATTTTATAGTACATTTCATGTTTTACTTTTAAAACCAAAGAAAATGCATTCTGATGTTCAGTTGTATGAGCCTCCATTGTAGGTTGATTCACTTAGCTTTCCACAAATTAAGGCTGTAGTGTTTACACCAAGGCTTTTGAAATTGTAGGCAACAAATATTAAAATCTGAAATGATTGTTTTAAAACAAACCTTTGTAGACAAACTAATTTCATTTTCTGTATGAGCATACAACCTTTTAATACACTTCTGGAGTGCCCTTCTCAATTGATTCATTGGGACTCTTGTCTTACTCATTTGACACATTTAAACAGTTAAACTTACCACTGGGGGATGCTTCCGTTTGTGCACAGAGTCAGCACGTCTATTTTTCTGTGCAATGATTCCTAGGGGGACTTTAACATCTGGTATTTTGACAGTGGTTGCCTCTTGTGCCACCTGAAGCTTTTTAATGATTGAGTCCTTACTTGAAGAAAACTGTTGAGGTACATAGCAAAACCACTTGTCCTTTCACTCTTCCTTGACTTAAAGTTGGATAAAGGCTAAGTCCTTGTAGCCAAGCTCATGCCCCATCATGCAACAGTGTAGCATCCAAACTTTGCGTTGTTGCCATTGTGTGTGAGCTCTGGTGAGTTTGAGTTACAGAAATTGAATATAATCAAAGAGTTGCTATGAATAAAAATCCCCACATACACTTGTAAACAATGAGCTTTTTATGTTTGCATTATATTGCCTTATACTATGCCATTACACAAACCAGTCATAGCTAGCTGGCTATGATAGGCAGACAGAGGGAGAGCTAAGGGGAGCATAACTTTGTAGAGTGCATTATGCTCTGGCAAAGTTTGTACATTTGGTGGACATCAAACTTGTTCTCAGGCATTTTGGCATGTTTAAGGCTAGGTTAACCTTTGTGCTAAACACCATTATTTTCAGGTGTTTACTTGTGATGCTTTTTTGCTCTCAGAAGAAATTCTCAATTCATGAGTGGCCTAATTGCAGACCAGGAAGGGTGGGATCTAATTAAAGTCAACAATGCTACCTAAGGAATTGCACCCCAGGAAATACAATTTAACACTCAACTGAATAAAGAGAAAAAAGCTACAGGAACTGATGAGGCAGAAATGTTTCAAAATACACCTTTTTTAGTCAGCAAACAAATGGGACTAGAACTGCTGGAAGGAAAATGTGAACCAGCAATAATTATAAAATGGTAGATATGACAATTTTATTACAATTAGTTAATACAAGTTCAAATATATATAAATCCAGTGCCCCAAAATAACCAAAGCTCAGCAGAGGTCACTTGGAGAGGCAGACTACACAAAGTACCCAGGAGTACTACTACCCACCTTAAGTGCAGCACTACAAACTTCAATGCATTATTCACAGCAAAAATGGTGTAGTCTATATAGTGTCCCCGTGCAATTACTCACATGCAGAAGAGTAAAGGGACCTTGCCACAGGTGCCTAGCCTCCCAACAAGATGGCACCCTGCTCAAAATATAAACTGAACGAGAAAAAGTAACCAACCAAGTAACCCAGTTGTCTGAACAAGGGCAAACTATACTATTTAACTAAAACACTAAACTAAAGGGCAAAACAGGAAACAAAATAAACTTAGGCAAAACAGCAGGGGTCTAAGACATGGAGGAACCTGGAAAAGTGATGGAAACCGTTAGCCAGGCTCAACCTTACTACATTTCAAGCCATGCATCTACTCACCACCTCTGAGATGGGTCATGAAGATACATCAGTGGTCACAGCACAGGAGAAAAGGACGTTCCTAACAGTGTCAAAGTGCAGGTAAGCAACAAACTTTTAAGGGAAAATAGACAAAATTATTCCTTTCACATACCTGGGCTACAAACACCAACCACAACAGGAACAGATCAGGAAGCAGAGAGAGAACAAGGGAACACAGGTGTCTTATATAGCCTAAGCCTAATAAGGAGGTTGGCCAGGAGAGGAGTTAAGTCAAGGCTGCATTCAACACCACCACACCTTAACCTGCACTTGGGGAATCTTTCCCCACCACACCCACATGTGATTTGGTGCCCCTGTCTCACTCTCTTGTTCTCTCTCTGCATTTCTTTTTTTCGTGTTTCCCTGTATTTTATTCTAAGATTAAATCTAAATGCACAATACCAAAAGATCGCATGGCAATGGTATGATGTTGCTTCAAGGCAAAATTTGCATTTGAACTATTTTCCATTATATAATTATCAAATAAATTACATTAAACAATTAACAGTTAAACTTTACTCACCTAATATTGTGAATCCGATTTTTCCACATTAAAAATGGCATAAAAGATGTTTTGAGGGCAGTTTAGTGCAGAGAAAAATTAGAGCTGAACCATGTGTCAAAGGCAGCAGTAAAGGGATTCAAAATGTGCTCTAGAGACTCATGTGACAAATTGTAACACTGCTATTGGTTTCCTTAGAGCCCTGCAACACCTTTAAAGTGTTGTACCATATTTCAGGATGTATGGTGGGAGTGTACTAGGCCAAAAATGGGTATGTTGCCTAGAGGCATATATATTAATGTGTATAGTAATCAGGGCACATGAAGCATTTATATATAACAAAAATTGCCGTAAATATACTTGCTTCTGTAAATGTTTGCTACGTTATAACAATCCCCTTTTCTCCAAAATTAAACACAACTGATTGCTGCATCTCTGCCAATCCCAGAAGAAATGTAAGAATTAAGAGCATATCTGAGGAGAGAAAAAATGTCTCAGTCCAATTGAATCATACTGTATATTGAAGCTTGATTGAAGGATCTCTAAGAAGCAAACGTCAAAAAGTAAAGTGGACATTTATTGATTATTCTATAGGACATGATCAGTGTAGTTAAATGCAACTCACACTGCATTGCAAAGTATTTCCAGGCAGCTCAGGTGTAGTACAGGACACATTAAATAGTCACAGTGAAATTACTTTATAGTGACAGTGAAATGAGGCCTGAGGGTGACAGAACGAATGAGTAACTGATAAAAAGACAGAAAAAAACAGTCATGCCCTCAGGTAAAGTAACCTACCTATGCCAAAGCTCTCCACCCCCTTCACTGCTTCTTGATCCCATCTGGGTTTTTTTTGTTATTTTCATTTCTCCATCTCCCTCCTTCCTCCTCTCAAAAGTGAGGACATAGCTGAGGGAGCGGTGACCTATTTTATCCTGGCAACCACTTGTGATGAATAGATTCTGCATGTCTGTGTGTGTGTCCACATCTTCTTAGAGGCAATACTTAATGTCTGCAGTGTGAAGGTCTTTTCAGACGGTAAGCGACACTTGGATCCACTGGGTCTCACTGAGCTCCTTCATGTGGATAGACAGTCAGATGAGCTCTTTGCGAGTAAATGCCAGGCGCTTTATGTGTGGTAACCATGGAAAAGGCTTCTGTGCACTATTCCCTGCTGGTACAATTGTATTTTCTTTGTAGCCTAGCATAAGATAAAACTATATGTAAGTTTCCTGATACATCTAGTCCTGCTACAATCTCTCCCGGTCTGAAAAGACCATAACAAGGTTGTGCTTGATAGTAGTGACATGTGGATCGATACTAAAGTATCGATATTTCTGATACCAACGTTTTCCTGCTCTAAAGGTTAGGCCTACGTCTAAAGCTAGTAAGCAACCCTGGATAAATAACAGCATTTGGAGCCTAAAAGGGGAATGCAGGAAAGCAGAGTGCAGATGGAAAAAATCCAGTCTCCAAGTCCATTACCTCAGTCTGAAGGATTTATTAATTAACTACAATAACATCGTTTAGGATGCGAGAACACACTATTTTTCTGAACTCATTACTACACATAAACACAATCCCAGGTTTCTGTTTAAGACTGTGAATCAGCTGGTAAACCCAACCCCTCCTTGTGCCTCAGCTGGAAGTAATGATGACTGTGAATTATTTTTATCTTATTTTACCAATAAGGTGGTGTCAACCAGAGCCTCTATTACCCCCGCGGCCTCTTACTCAGTGGTTCCTCACCCGCAACAACAGAGTTTTAACCAGTTTTATCCCATCGACTTGTCTGAGCTTTTAAAAACAGTATCACAAATGAGAGTGTCCTCCAGCCCACTTGATGTAATACCTACTAAGTTTTTACTGAAAGTAATGGATTCTGTTGGACCCCATTTGATCTCTGTTTTCAACAGCTCCCTATCTACTGGTTGTGTCCCTGATTATTTTAAAACGGCTTGCGTGAACCCACTTTTAAAGAAACCTGGTTTAGATCCCTCCCTCCCACAAAATTTTAGACCAATTTTAAAACTGCCTTTTATTGCAAAGATTCTAGAAAGAATTGTGTCCAAACAGCTGCTCACTGTACTGGAAAATAACAAATTATTTGAAAAGCTTCAACCTGGTTTCAGGAAGTCCCACAGCACTGAGACTGCCCTGCTTAAAGTCACCAATGACCTTTTAATGTCTGCTGATGAAGGTATGTGCTCAGTCCTGGTACTCCTGGACCTTGGCGCTGCTTTTGACACCATTGATCACAACATCATGTTAAACAGACTGAGGCACTGGGTGGGGATCTCTGGTACTGCCCTAGAATGGTTTTCATCCTACCTGTCAAATAGGAAGTTTTGCGTGTCTGTAAGCAACTATGTCTCTTCGTTCTGTCAAGTTAAATATGGTGTGCCTCAGGGGTCGGTCTTAGGACCCATTTTGTTTTCCTTGTATCTGCTTCCCCTTGGACATATTATCCATAAACATGGCATTTCTTTTCATATTTATGCTGATGACACACAAATGTACTTGCCCGTCAGATCCACAGATCCTGGAATGCTGAGTTCACTTAACAATTGCCTTTGTGAAGTTAAAAAAATGGATGTCAAATAATTTCCTCCAGCTGAACTCAGACAAAACAGAAATCCTGGTCATCGGGTCCCAGCAGATGGCAAAACAAATACTGCCATCTGCTGGTTCCCTAATAAATCACATTAAGCCTGTGGCAAAGAACCTAGGTGTCTGGTTTGATAGTAATTAAAATTTTGAGCAGCACACCACAAAGCTTGTTCAATCATGTCTATGAAGATTCTCAGTCATCCAGGTCATAGGTAAGACTTGTTCAATCATGTTTTTATCAGCAAAAATTCTATCTATATTAACTTTTAAGGACACCGAGACAATTTTACATGCCTTCATCTCATCACGCCTGGATTATTGCAACAGCCTTTTCACCTGTTTAACCCAAAAATCTACTGATCGACTCCAGACTGTCCAGAACTCAGCTGCCAGGCTTTTAACCAGAACAAAGAAATATGACCACATCACCCCTGTGTTAGCTTCACTACACTGGCTCCCAGTGTGTTTTAGAATTGACTTTAAAATTTTATTGATAACTTTTAAAGCTCTTCATGGCCTCTCGACTTGTTATATTTCTGACCTTTTAGTCCCATACGCACCAGCACGTACCTTGAGATCCTCGGGCAGAGGTCTGTTGTCTGTTCCAGAGTCTCAACTGAAAACTAAAGGGGACAGAGCGTTTTCTGTCAGGGCCCCGAGGCTCTGGAACAGCCTGACCGAGGAAATCAGGTCGGCAAGTCCCTTCTTAAAACATACTTTTATAGGACAGCCTTTCCCGATCTTATTTGACTTTATTTTATCCCTTTATTCTATTTTACTTATTTTATATTTATCTTAAACATGTATTTTGGTCTTTTCAATGTTTTCTTGCTTGTATTGTTGTCTTTTGGGTATTGTATTGTTGTCTTTGCACTTGTTGAAGCACTTTGTAACTTGTTTTTGATTATTATTATTATTATTACGATCAATACTCATATAAAATGATCGATATCTAAACATGGTCATTTGGAGTGAATGTGTTTTATCATAAGTATCTTACTGTCACCAGGATGGTCTAATGCAGCATTCAGACCAAGCAATAACGTGAATAAACACAACTCGCCGTTACTACAGCTGTATTAACCCAAAGTAAACATTTTGCTGTGATTAAATACAATAAATGGATCAAACTGATGCCGAAATAACTACAATATGATGCAGATTTGTGAAACATATGAATTCATACTTTGTCAGGTTTGTCAGCAAGACAGCAGGACAACTACTTCTAAAATGTTTGTTGGAGTTCGGATCGATCATGGCTATGCTATGCTAACTTGTTCACAGTAAAGCACAACAATAGCTGGAATAAAGTTACAGACACATGTTTTCTGAACTCACCAGGTAGTTCAACCTCCTCACTTTCTTTTCTCCCAGAATCAGTGTATAGTTCGTTCTTTGGTTATTTCGTTTCAAAACCAAAACGGAAAAACAAACCAGCTGCCTTTTGTTCTATCTATGACCGGTGTTGTATCCCTACTAGTTTTTTAAAATTAATTGGCTGCTGTACACGTGCGCCTGTTGTTTGCAACAACTGTGGTCTGCATTGGGCTTCATACAACCAGAGAGAATGATCACCAACCATCCGCAGCGCACCAGGTTGGTCCTGCGACCTCCTTTCCCTTGCCCTGTACACTCCAGCGCACCGCTCCCTAACCAGTAGACCTAATATGCGTTGTGTTGCCAGTGGAACCGGTGCACTGGACAGTCAGTGCTCGTTCCCCCTGGCTGGATGAAGTCCGATGCTCCTGTTTTAAGCATAGCCTAATCCATGACGTTCCTACTGCAGCTGGATGCTCTTTGCAGTGCTGCGAAACTTTCTAAATTCTTCCATCTCACGAAGATAATAAAGGTCAGGTGGAAACAGTGTAGAGAAGCTGAACGAAAATTACTTGAACCTTTTAATCCTCCATGTTTGCTGTGTACCATTGGACATACTCAAAACTATCAATGAATTAATTTGATACTGAAGAAATCTTAAAAACCAGAGGATTCTTAGGCAACTTCTGATGTTTCTGTTTCTGT